CGTGGTGGGGGTCGGCCCCCCCTGTCTGGGGGTGGCGGGGCCCCCGGTGCGGTCCCCCGCCGTGCTTTTGCCCAGTACTGCAAGTGCCAGGAGGGCTGTGCCGTGCTGGCAGCACCCTGGGAGAGCGGGGCCCCAGGTGCTGCAGCCGCCTGCACCCTCTCTAATGCCATCGCTTCCCTCTCCCATCCCAGCCGATGACGCTCGTGAAAAGGCTGGCAGGAAGGCAGTGGAGGCAGGTGAGTGCCATGGGATCTGGGGGCCGGTGGCAGGCGAGCTGGTCGGGCTGTGGGACCACCCGCCCAGGCTGACCTGGCTGCTCTCTGTGCCACAGATCCAGCTGCGATCCAGGACAGCTACTTCTACCCACCGGGCCCCTTCCCGCGCCAGGCATCCCCCCAGGGTGTGCCCCACTTCCAGACCTCCCCGCTGCTGCACCCCCTCGTTGGGCAGCACATCCTCTCCGTCCAGCAGTTCTCCAAGGAGCAGGTGCCCGGGCTGGCAGCGGGCGCTGGGGCCGTGGGCACCCGGACGAGCGTGGGGGGTGCGGTGCCTCGCGCGCCCCGGCTGAGTCCTGGTGCCACGCGCGCCCCAGCTGAGCTGCCTCTCCCCGCAGATGTCGCATCTGTTCAACGTGGCACACACCTTGCGCATGCTGGTGCAGAAGGAGCGGAGCCTGGACATCCTCAAGGTGAGCTGGGTATGGGGCAGCTATCCGGCCCCCCAGGCACCCCGAGCGAAGCCTGGGAGACCCATGCTGGGCGCGAGGGCCTCTGGGCTCCCTGAGGTAATGGCACGGCCCCCGCAGGGCAAGGTGATGGCGTCCATGTTCTACGAGGTGAGCACGCGGACCAGCAGCTCCTTCGCGGCAGCCATGAGCAGGCTGGGTGGCTCCGTCCTGTCCTTCTCGGAGGCCACCTCCTCGGTGCAGAAGGGCGAGTCGCTGGCCGACTCTGTGCAGACCATGTGCTGCTACGCCGACGTGCTGGTGCTGCGGCACCCCCAGCCAGGCGCTGTTGAGGTGAGAGGGGCTGGTGGGGCCGTCTCCTGCCTGCGGCAGGGCTGGGGGGCGGCTGCTTCCTCCCCTGAAGGCATCGGGGTCCCTGCCCGAGTGGCAGGGACAGTGGCCTGTGCGATGGGGCAGGGCCATGTTCCCCAGCGGTGCGGGCTGGGCAGGCATCAGGGGCAGGAGCCAGGTCCTGCCCCTGTGGGGCTGGCGGGGCCGCGGCCTGCCTGCGCTCGGCCCTGCCTGCGCTCAGCCCTGCCTGTGCTCCCAGCTGGCCGCCAAGCACTGTCGCAAGCCTGTGATCAACGCTGGGGATGGGGTGGGGGAGCACCCCACGCAGGCACTGCTGGACATCTTCACCATCCGTGAGGAGCTGGGCACCGTCAACGGCATGACGGTAAGGCACTGGGGGGCCGGGGGGGCCATGGCTGCCCCCACCACGGTGCTGCGGGACTGAAGGGCCCTGCCTGGGGCTGACCGCTCTCCCCAGATCACCATGGTGGGCGACCTGAAGCACGGGCGCACGGTGCACTCCCTGGCCTGCCTGCTCACCCAGTACCGCGTCAACCTGCGCTACGTCACCCCCCCCGGCCTCCGCATGCCCCCTGACATCACCAGCTTCGTGGCCTCCAAGGGCATCAAACAGGTGAGGAGGCGGGGTGGGGGGCCCGGGCCCCACGCCCCCCCCGGCCCCGCTGACGGTGCCGCCCCAGGAGGAGTTTGGGAGCATCGAGGAGGCGCTGCCAGACACCGATGTGCTCTACATGACCCGCATCCAGAAGGAGCGCTTCCGCCGGGCGGAGGAGTACGAGGCCGTGAGTACGGGGCGGCGGGAGGGGACCCCGGGTCTCGCCCCGGCGTGGGGGCGGCCGCCTTCCGCCCTGCGCGGGGTGGGGGCTGCCCTGCGCGGGGCTGAGGGCTGCGCCCCCTCCGCCCCCTCCCCGCAGTGCTTCGGGCAGTTCATCCTCACGCCCCACATCATGACCCGGGCCAAGGAGAAGATGGTGGTGATGCACCCCCTGCCCCGCGTCAACGAGATCAGGTGGGGGGGGCTGGGGGGGCTCTGGGGGGTCT